TTTTTTGTCAAAGACTCAGTCGATAAGATATTGCACAAGCTGTTTTTGCTAGACATTGCCTTTTCAGTTATCCCTCTGTAATGTTATGTTGATAGGCATCAACATATTTCTCCTATTCCCCCATTCTGCTGTAGGGACTTAGAGGTGACCCTTGGATATAGAGGAAATTCTAGACACAGACCTGAAGGGCTTCATACTCAGAAAAAAAATACATTAAAAAATATATAAATATATATATATATATATATATAAAATAGTTGGACATAATACCTTTATTTTATTTATTTATTTTTATATGCTGCTGAGGTTCAAACCCAGTGCCTAACACATGCCAGGCAAGAGCTCCATTGCTAAGCCACAACCCCAGCCCCAAAGTAATAATTTCTTAAGGATAAGGCAAGGCATTTAACAAAAATTTTCTTTGATTTTTACTTTTTTGTTTTTATATCTTATTCTGAATGTATAAATTTATTCTTAAGTCTTGAAATCAACATATTACAGATTATATCATTTTGTATACTTTATTGATCAAGTCTCTTGGATTTTTTTCTCAGACATCATTCTTTTAAAACAACTTCATTAAGATATAAATTACATAATGTACAATTTACCCACTTAAATTTTTTTTTAATTTTTAATTTTTTTTTGGTACTGGGGATTGAACCCAGGTACACTTAATCAATGAGCCACATCCCCAGTCCTGTTTATTAGGTGTGTGCCACTGCACCCAGATACCCACTTAAATCGTACGGTTGAATACTTTTGAGTATATCAGATGGTTGTACAACATCAGCACAATCTAGTTTTAGAGCTTTTTCATCTCCCCTGGAAAGATACTCTCATATCCATTAAGAGTCAATCCTCATCCTTGTGCCTTTCCCCTGCCTCAGGACTAGGCAACTACTTTTGTACTTTCTGTCCCAATGAATTTTCCTGTTATAACCATTTCATATAAATGGAATAAAAATATGTGGTTATTACTAAGTGTAATCTTTTCAGGGTTCATCCACATTGTAGCATGCATAAAATTCATTTGTTTTTATTACATGATATTATATTGTATGGATATACCACAATATGTATTCCTCAATTAATAGATATTCAGATTATATTTTTTGCTTTTACGAATAGTGTTGCTATTCAAAAAATACTGTACCAGTTTTTTTGTGGACATATGTTTTCATTTGTCTTAGTTATCTATTGAGGCATGGAATTGGTCATATGGTAACTTTATGTTTACCCATTTGAGGAACTGCCATACTTTTCCCAAAGTGACTGTACCATTTCATGTTCTGGCCAGAAATGTAGGAGTTTCCATTTTCTTATCCTTGCCAAAACTCGTTATTTCTTTTTAATTATATCTAATGAGTATAAAGTGGCATCTTGTGGTTTTGATTTTTCATTTCACTAATGATTCATGGTGTTGAGCCATGAACATTTTTTCATGTGCTTACTAGTCATTTGTATACCCTGGGGAAATAGCAATTCAAATTCTTTGCCTCTTTTTTGATTGGGTTATTTGTCTGATATAGTCTGTGTACAAGTTCTATATCAGATAAATGATAAATGATTTTCAAATACTTTCTTCTAGTCTGTATTTTTTAAAAAAATATTTATTTTTTAGTTTTAGGTGGACAAAATATCTTTATTTTATATTTATGTGGTGCTGAGGATCAAACTCAGTGCCTTATGCATGCTAGGCAAGCACCTTACCACTAAGCCACAACCCCAGCCCCTGTCTTTTCTTTCTTAATAGATCTTTTGAAGCACAAATATTTTAATCAAGTCTGTTTTTTTTTTGTGTGTGTGTGTGTGTGTGTTCTTTGTACTTTTGATGTCTTGACTAATCTTCTATTAGTAGAAGATTTACTAGAAGATAGACTCCATCATAACTTGAAAGTTATAAAACTTCAAGTGTCTGACACTTTTATCTCTTGCACTTAGGACTCTGATCCACTTTGAATTAAATTTGTATGTGATGTGAGTTAGGGGTCATTCCTGTATACGTGGAACTACAGTTGTCCCAGCACCATTTATTAAAACTATTTTTCCCCATTGAATGGACTTGGTGCACTTGTTAAATAGAACTGTTTTTTTAAGCAGGTGCTCTACCCATGAGCTACGTCTCCCACCCTTGATATATTATCCTTAATATTGACTAGTATCACTCAAAAGAATGTTAATATTGTGACTTAAAACCTAAAGTTGATAGGCCGGTAGTTTTCTTTCTTTTCACATTTAGTATCTCCTTACCACAAGAGAGAAGGGTGAAGGCCAGGCTATTTACCAGAATTGGCAGTATCAATCTAGTGTCAGCTCTGTGGGTCTGTCAATATAGACAGCAAGCAACTTTCCTGGACATTCCTGGGTGGAGACCGGGTATTGCGCCATCTCCTGAAGGGCAACTTTCCGATGAGTCATCATTGTAAGGGAAGTTGAAGATCTGTGGCTGTCCTGTTGACTGCTGGGTAGCACTAAACTATCAGACTCAGTGACTACAGGGGAAAAAACCCTATATTAGAGGTAGTTGGATATCTCTTGCTGCCTTGATAATAAGGATGTTAGATGAATGAGTGTTTTCTTCTGGATCTGAGTAATAAAAAAATTTAGCAACAATAGTAGTATTTTTGCTACTAATGTTTAGTAGCTGTTTGCCTTAAATTTATTAGTGGGGAAAATTAGAGTATAATGGGAAGTAAGAACTACTGTTGAGTTAACAAAAAACTTGATTTCTAAAGTAAAAGAAAATACAGGAATTAAGGTCACATGCTGTAATTAATCTAGAAATATATTGCTTATTCACCATTAATTCAGGAGGAGCAAATTTTTTGCTTAGTTTGTTTTTACACAATCTATTCTGTTTTCCTTTTTACTGACCTTTTTTTTTTTTTTTTTTTTTTTTCAACACTAGAGCAGCCAGAGAAGGACATGTTATATTGTCATTGTCTCTACGTATTGTCTGAGTATATCTGGGCCAGGAAGAAGGCTCTAATAAAAAGTAGAGACGATTTTGGGGGTAACATTTATTTCTATTCATTTTATAATTTCAGAACTTGGATTATATCAGGTACATGTGAAATGAGGTGTATTTGTTATTGTTTTGGTGCTGGGATTGAACCCAGGTCCATGAGTATATTAAGTGCATGCTGTACCACAGAACTACATCCCAAGCTCTGGACATGGTATGTAATTTCAATTTTACTGCCAGAGAATCTGCTTTGAGCAGAATCATGAGCAAACAAGCAAGCATTCAGTCCAGTAGGACCCCGCAAACACACACACACACACACACACACACACACACACACACACACACACACACCCACACCTATCTCCCAGCCCTCTTAGGCAGTGTCATTTCATGGAACTTTCCTCTTTGTCCATTGATGTTTCAGCCTCTTGACCCTGAGACCAAAGCTCTCCCAGGGTCCCTTTTGCTGGGACTGGTTGCCCATTGGCAGCTAGAACTCAGGAAGAGAAGCAGTCTTCATTCTCTTGGAAGAGAGTCACTGTCTAGAGGCAGCAGGGTTCCTAGGAGTGGCTGGAAGTCGTTTTTGAGACTCTTTGGGAACAGTATAATATCTCTAAACTCTTTCAAGTTCTGGTGGACATATAACTACTTTTATAAAATGACTATTTTGATAGAGGATTATAAATTAGATCAAGCAAATCAGTAGATGAATCTAAATCTCTCCTTCCTCTCTGCGCCTTCCTTCCTGTCTAGTTCAGACCTCCCTTGCCCCTGGACTCAGCTTCTCCCTCTCTCTAGTCCAGTGGATATAAGAGATTGGTGGGCCTGGCAGGTTGTTGTAGAGCAGAAGAGGATTCCACTGTTAAGAGGGTTGGATAGGGATCCTGGTTCTACTACTGTTAATCCTGTGACATTGGTAAGATGTAAGGAACACCCACTCAGGCTATCTGTAGAGTGTGTGGGTTTATGCACAGTTTTTGCACAGATTACTTAACTGCTCTATTATTTCAGTTGTGTAGAGCCCTTGTGCTCATTTGCTCAGACATCTGCCTCCACAGGATTTAAGGACAGGCTAAGTGCCAGTCACAGTCTGACTTTTCCTTGTTCTTCCTTCCTAGCACACCGATCTGGCTTTTCTCCCAGTCTCTTACCACTTTTTTACTTCTGTCTTTTTGTCTGTTACTTATAGAGTCCTTCCACATGCAGTGTTTCTCTTCCTTCCTTCCTTCTGGTCTATATCCTTACTGTCTGAGACACTTCTACCTGGAAGGAGCCCACACCTCAGAGGGTTTTCTTGGCATGTTTTGTGCAACTCAAGTACTCAAGGCTTTCTTTATGCCATTTTTATGTCTCAGGAGTAAATTCCTTGAGTGTAAACACAATATTTTTTCTAATTTCCTTGAATTTTCCAGAGCACTGTGAGGGTAGCAAGTATTCATCTGCAATTAATCCTTGTTGCCTTTTTTTTTTTTTTAAACCAGGGATTGAACCAAGGGGCACCTAACCACTGAGCCACATCTATAGTCCTTTTTATTTTTTTTATTTTATCAAGATAGGGCCTCAGTAAGCTGCTGAGCCTGGCTTTGAACTTGAGGATCCTCTTGCCTCAGCCTCCTGAGCTGCTAGGACTATAGGTGTACACCACCATGCCTGGTTCTTGCCTTTTTTTGTGGTTGTTTTATATAATATATAAACATAAAGAAAGTCACTTTTGTTAAACCCCTCAAACTAGTTTTGAACTTTTTCAATGCAGATGATAACATCTACAACTGTGTACCCACCTCCTGTGGGCTAGCCCTATGCCTCCTAGTAGGCGTTGCAAGCATGTGTGTCAGCTTGACATAGTCTTGCTCTGTCTAGCTCTTTGGCTGGTGGACTCAGGCACTGAGCAGGCAGAATGCTATTGCAAATGCATTTATAGATCAGGATCTTTGTCCAGAGTAGGGTAAGGGATTTTTAATTTTTTTTTTATAGCCTAAGTTTCTATAATGCTGTTTTAAAACTTTTCTTTCTTGTTTTTTCCCTACAGGTAGTCGGGAAAGATTTCAGGACAAAAATGTTTCATTTAAGGACTTGTGCTGCTAAGTTGAGGCCGTTGACGGCTTCCCAGACTGTTAAGACATTTTCACAAAACAAATCAGCAGCAATTAGGACGTTTCAACAGATTCGGTGCTATTCTGCGCCTGTCGCTGCTGAACCTTTTCTGAGTGGAACTAGTTCGAACTATGTGGAGGAGATGTATTGTGCTTGGCTGGAGAATCCCAAAAGTGTACATAAGGTAAGTTTCACAGGATGGTCTTCCATATTGGTGTGTTGTTCTGGTGCTGACTGGATGCCCAGGTAAGTGTGCGCATCCTGAGCAGTCATTGGGCAGACAGACAGGCGACTGGAGCCCTGCACCGACCACCACACCGTTTGCATTAAACCAGTATGGCCTCAACAGAATTCGTTCCCTTGCTTGATGTACAGTAGTTGACAACAGGATCAATCCAACTAGCAGATGAAGAAGCACATGTATGGCCCTGTGAGGATAAAAGGATGCTCATGTATACCCCTGCAAGGATGTGAAGAAGCACTTGTGTGGCCCTACAAGGATAAGAGAAAGCATGTATGAAGCCCTGCGAGGATGTGAGCAATTACGTGTTTATTCTATAAAGACTTGAGGAAGCATGCATGTGGCCTTCCAGGATCTCCCCCATGGCTACTTCAGGATGAAGCCTTTGAGGAAAGAAAGTATATGGGAAAGAATGGGACCTCAGGAAGCTCTTCCATCCTAACTGTTCTGAGAAGACACTTACATATGATATACCTTAAAGTCGCTTAATGTAATTTCTGTATAAATGACCTTATATTTATTTATGGTTGTCAATGTACCTTTATTTATTTATAAGTGGTGTTGAGATCGAACCCAGTACTTTGCACATGCTAGGGAAGCCCTCTATCACTGAGCTATAACTCCAGCCCCTAAATGACCTTTTAGATCATTGTGTTTCTGTTTCTTTCTAATTCCTCTGTTACTTATAGGGGCATCTTCTTCCTAGATCACTTTCTTTACATGTTTGCTGATATAAGTTACACCTGGAACAATGTGTTTATTCAGTTTGTGGCCAGTGAATATTTATGGGTGCCAGTAGCCATTTCTTTGTTTTTGGGTTGGGCTGCCAACTTTTTTTTTTTTTTTTTTTTTAAAGAGTGAGAGAGAATGAGAAAGAGGGAGAGAGAGAGAGAGTGAGAACTTTAATATTTATTTTTCAGTATTTGGCGGACACAGCATCTTTGTCTGTATGTGGTGCTGAGGATCGAACCCGGGCCGCACGCATGCCAGGCGAACGAGCTACCACTTGAGCCACATCCCCAGCCCCTGGGCTGCCAACTTGATGGGTGGGGTTGCAGTGCAGTGTGGGTGGAGGGTAGATTCTATAGTTCCTCATCTGTGTCTCATCTGTCTGGTCTCTGGAAGAGTAGAAGGAAATGAGAGGCATGGTGCTCAGCATTTACATGGAGGGCATGGTCAGCCAGCATTGTTTATTCATACTGTGAATTGTGCCTTTATCCCACCCTTTGGCCTGTGAATATGTTTCACTTTCAGTGTCAGTGACATTGAAGAGTGAAACTGTTTTTGAGATAGTTGGATCCACCAAGCTCTGGATTGGTAGTAGCACCCCTTGCTTAGCCCTTTCCCCAAAAAGATGTATCCTATGAAAGTGCTTCTGCTTTAGTTATATTGAATCTTGGAGGTTCCTGATGACAGCAGGTACAGATTGTGTCTGACATAACAGCCCAAACATTTCAAAGACTGTCATCTTGTGCCAGTCTTTTCTCAAATAACCTTTTTGTGACCAACCAACTCATTTTAAGTTGTGTTAGGATGTAGAGATTGCAGCTCCTGAATGACAGCACCTTGAATGTGAGAGAGATAAGAAGGACCTGGCTGTGAGCTATGTGCTCATGATGCCCATCCCTCAGTGGCCTCTGGGTGGTAGGACACACAGTAGCAATGGCCACAGTTTTCTCCACATGGGACTGATACTGGTGTAGCTGCTATTGATGTAGTTTTAAACAGAGTTTTGTGGAGGCATGGTGGCTTTGTGTTCCTTGGATGTGTAAATGACTAGTTCTTGAAAATTCTTTTTACCACGTGGTATTAGAGAAAGCAGAATGTGATGGCTGGAGAGTAAGGGAACTGGTTAGGATACCTGCTATGTCCCTAAGGTGGGGTAAGAGTACCCAGTTTAGCTTGAGCCAAGGCCCCCCCCCCCCCAAGATAACGGCTGCTGGGGAAATGATCACATTCAGGAGAAGTCCACTGTAGGGGTTGTGTGTATAAGGGATTTTGTACTTTAATCAGAAGGTGTGTGTAGGTCCTTGGCAGATTTTATGACCATTTCTGAGTCTCTGAGGAACTCTTTCATTATCAGGTATGTGCTCTGTGCCTCTTAGCCTAAGAATAGAAGGAGGACTGATTCAGGGATCCTGGTGGGATTTCATTTCTCCTCTACTTTGCAGACAGCAAGGTGGATCCTACTCAAGCTGAATTAAACCCATATTTGGTGCATGCATGTTTTTCAAGCAAGATATTCCATAATTTCTTTCAGATTTTGAAAAGCATCTGACCCATAGAGGGTTAGGATTCACAGCCTAGAAATGCTTTACTTTATTAAGAATGCTTAATTTGTGCCCTTTTAGAACACATAGTTTAGGTAGAGATAATACAATTACTATAAGATTTAGATCATCTTTCTTATCTCCCACTTCAGAAATGTCCTGAGGCCAGATTCCATATACATTTTTAGAAAGCTCAACTGCTTCTGAGATTGACCTTTCACATCCAGTAGAAGCAGAACAAACTCAGTGTCTCCCTCTTCTGCCCAGCACTGCTTTTTTATTACTAATTTTTGAGCTTTGTATCACTGTGTCTTCAAGTACCCGTAATAGAGAGGAGTATAAAGAAAGCACCTGAGGAGACCCATCTTCCAGCTTCAGTAGCTCCACCCTGTGCTAGTCTGTTAAAACCCAGTCTCTGACCCACTTACTTTTTGTTGATTGATTTGTTATGGGTGGGGGTCCCACTGGAGTTTTTATAATAATGGGGATTGAACCCAGGGTGGGGGCACTTTGCTACTAAACGACATCCTCAGCCCTTTTTATTTTTGTTTTGAGACTGGGTCATAATAGTTGCTGAGGCTGGCCTCAAACTTGGGATCCTCCTGCTTTAGCTTCCTGAGTATATGGGATTATAGGGTGTGCTACCATGATTAGCCACTGGATTATATTAAGGCAAATCCCAGACTTGTGTCATTTCTGGCATGAAATGCATCACTCTGACTGATAATGAGATGTTTTCATAATCATACCAAATAAAATTAATAGGGTATTTCTCTAATTGAATCTCATCTTTGGTCTGTATTTAAATCATTGTAATTTTGGGGGTGGGGGAAGAGGTACTGGGGATTGAACTCAGGGGCACTTGACCACTGAGCCATATCCACAGCCCTGTTTGTATTTTATTTAGAGACAAGGTCTCAGTGAGTTGCTTAGTGCCTTGCTTTTGCTGAGGCTGGCTTTGAACTTGTGATCCTCCTATCCCAGCCTCCTGAGCCGCTGGGATTACAGGTATGTATGTGCCACTGCTCTTAACTGACTAAATCATTGCAATCTTAAAGCTGCCCCCCATCTCATCCCTACCCTGTTTTTATTGTTTGATACCAGAGATTAAATCTAGGAATATTTAACCATTGGCTACATCTCCAGTCCTTTTTTTTTTTTTTTTTTTTTTTTGAGATAGGGTCTCACTAAATTGCCTAGGACCTTGCTAAATTGCTGAGGCTGGCTTTGAATAGGCGATCCTCCTTCCTCAGCCTCTCTAGTTGTTGGGATTACAGGTATATGCTACAATATCTGGCTTAAAGTTGCCATTTACATTTGGATTTAAACTTTATAGTTGGTTGTTGTATCCCTGTTTTCTTGTGTGTGTGTGTATGTGTGTGTGTATGTATATACACACACACAATTTTGTTTTGAAATGGAGTCTGTGTTTCCCAGACTGGCCTCTGTTAGGCTCAAGTGATCCTCCTGGTTCGGCTTCTTGAATAGCTGGGATAACAGGCATATATCATCACACCTGGTTTCTATCCCTGCCCCTCTTTTTATTATTTATTTATTTATTTTCCAATTATAATACATTTGGTACTTGGGATCAAACCTGGGGCCTCAAGCATGCTGGAAAAGTGCTTTACCACTTAGCTACTCCCTTAACCCATTCTTCTTTTTAAAGAAAATTTGTATTTAAAATATTTAGGGATGGGAATGTAGCTTGGTGGCAGATGTTTGCTTAGCATGCTTGAGGCCCGGGTTTGATCCCCAGATTGCAAGAAGAAAAAGGAAGAAAGAAAAAAAGAAAATGTTTACTTGCAAAAATTTCGTCTGTCATAAAGTATTAGAGCAAATCAAAACAGCACATTCCTTCTTCCTCCGGTTCTGCTCCCTAGACAGTACTGTCAAATGGCTGAGTCTTCCTCTGCACCTGGCTCACTGTCCTGCCATTTGTTTCTGAATTTGATCTTATCCAAGACTGTTTTCTCTGTTCTAGGCTGGCATCTGCACTCCTTACTGAACTTTCTTAGGAAACTTTGAGGGTGACCTGTACCTCAGCAGATCAAGTCCTGCTTTTTGAGGGTCTAAGCATGTTGAGGACACATGGAATCGTGACTATTTGTATTTTTGTCTTAAAAACAGTCAAAACTGCCAAGCATTGTGGTACATGCCTGTAATCCTGGCTACCTCAGGAGGCTAAGGCCAGGAGGATTATAATTTTGAGGTCAGTCTGGGCAACTTATAGATACCCTGTCTGGAAAAAAAAAAAAAAAACCGGAAAGAGCTCAGAGATAGCTTAGTGGTAGAACACTTTCCTAGTATTTGTGAGTCCCTGAGTTTGAGTCCCAGACTATAAAACTAAAAAGAAAAACCAAAAAAGTCAAATGAAACAGTTAATGTTTAAGATAAACAGTTGGGAACTGTTAAACCCACACTGATTTGGATATTGGTCTCATTTTGTTTGGTAGGAACAGGGGCCAACTCCCAAGTTTGGAATAGCATCTAGTTATTCCCAGTGCATTGGTCAGCAGGTTCTGACCTTTCTAAGGAGGACTGAGGTTTGGTCCCGAGAGGGTGGAAGGAACTAGGACAGTTGTCCTCTCTGCTGTGCTCCAGTACCTGCTTTGAGAATTCCTGCCATTGGCTCCTCTTTCCTTCTTTGCCTGATTATTTGGCTTTCCCATA